CGAAGACAACTTTCGACTTTGCCGGGCGCGTGAAGTCAAAAGGATTCAGTGCAAGAATTCCTGAGACGAAGGCACGCGAAGACAAGACCGTACCAAAATCCACAATCTCAAAGAAGGACAAAAAAATATGAAGAATGAATGCTGCGAAGAGTAGAGAAAAGACAACTTCGCCACTGTAGTTTAAAGGGGTTGTATCGATTCTAGAGAGGGGTAAAATAGTCATTTGTATTCAAATAGCGAAGGCTAGGATCTCTATAAATACCCCCTCTGACATGTACTGTACGACCATGAAATGAATGCAACTTTACACTTGTGTTCAAATTCAATGTTTGTGTAATTGTTTTACCCAACACTGTTGCTACAAATCATTTATGTAGTAGTGTTCTTAAGATATTGTGATTAGTACCATCTCAAGAAAATCCCAAAAAGACCATCAATGCAAAGTATAACGAGTCAGATTGAAAGTTGTACCAAAGCCGTTTTGGGATCTAAGCTGATTTTAATGGTTTTATTACGTGAAGGGAGAAATATTGATGGACGTGGCAGGCAGTGTGTGGCACTCGATCTAATAATAAACATATAAGCTAATTGAATTTGTGTCCATATATACATACACGTGCACGCACACATGCCAACCGTTAGCTTGGGGCCTTGGGTATGTAAAGTCCCAATGTACGTGCATGGTATTTTCCTTGGCGTCCTAGTGTGTGCAGCAATAATCCGAGTTAATGCAAGGAAAAAAACGAGTCCATTAAAAGAAGTGGCATTATGGATTATTGCCGGACACCCTGCAGGACAGGACGCCCAGCAAAAATAGCTCCGCGTCGTCAAACGTACCTTGGGCTGGCAGACGAAAGCACTACTCTTGTAGTCTTGTGCAGCAATAATTAAGCGCATGGTGCACGCGCGCCGCCTACGTATCCGCTCGTGCGCTCTCGACCGGCCACTATATATACACTAGTACAGTATAGTGCCGGTGCTGACATCACGGTATTTTTTCAGGGATGCACATATAAACAACCAAATACGATGCAGACGGAGGTACTATCAATGTTGAACAAAGCCCGCTTAATCATGCATACGATCGACCATGACCATGGCCTGCTGCCCCCACACATTGTTCTTTGTTTCTGACAAACAATGTCCAGTGGCGACCACGGCAGCTGAAAGCCTGTAGTACCACAATCATCATGGTACACACAAAATCTAGTTTCCCAGGATGCAACACTGAGGTATATTTTCTATCATCTTGGCGGGAAATGAAGGCCTAAATGAACAACAATTAAATATCAAACAAACTGCAAACATTGTATTTAAAATTCATATTGCAGTTCTCATCAGCTAATATATGTGCTAATCCAGATAAGAGCTTAAGCATCAAAACACACCGTATTCATAAATTAATTAAAGCACTATTCTTTCAATTTCTTATGCACGGAAAGTCTCAGGGCATGAAGCCAGTACAAAGTAACTTGGACTTCCACCGTATTACTGCCACCATACCTCTAACCTTGTTCAGTGCATCAACACTGTCCCGTAGTATGACTGCACCCTCTGGACGCAAAATCCTATCCATCTCCAGAAGAATGTGTCTGAGGACACTTGCTTGTTCTGATATAAACAGCCCGCGTCTTCATCCCGAATCCACGCTCAGGCTACTGCAAATCATCAGACCAGCAAGTCCCAAATAATCCCGAGTGACAAATGAAAGCCATTCATGCCAATGTGCACAATCTCAAGCTGGGGCCACTACTGAAACATATCACACTTGCATGCAATGCAATAAAGCAGAATTCAGCAACCAGGACAAACAATAAGCACGACAGCACAACTAATAGATCGAACCAGCAACGCTTAAAAATATGGTTTAACGACATCCTACTGTTTGAAAAGGGAAAAAATATAAAAAAACATATAGTTGTCATATACAAATGTAGCCATGCTCTCAAATCTCAAGGCAAAGAGAAATAGACCTTTGCAATTTATCTTTAGTAGGACATTTGTAAGATACTGATCATTGACTCTAGTTGGTGCCACACACTGTAACAATCCCAAATTCAGCAAGGCATTTCTTCTTCCAAGGCCCTGTAAAGGTCAATGACACAATGATCTCAAGCAATGCCTTAGCCCATCAGGAGGTAGAGTCAGCCATCATACTGATGTTGTGGCCCATATCATGGAAATACTCAGCAACTGTAATTCCTGATGGAAAAAGATACAATATGACTGTTAATAGAACCCTGTGCTGAACAGCAACAGTTTTCTAGAATATGCGGTCACTGAAATCTTGTGTTAATTAAGTAGTACATGTTTGTGCTATTTGTCGTTGCCTCGAGAGCTCGCCTGTTACTGAGAGTCCAGCCTACAAGTTATTATTATTGCTGATGCAAGCTTCAGAAGACAAGAGAAAGATGTAGTAAATCTTCACGTATAACTGATAGAGATATATATTTGGACAGAGGAGATTTGCAGAGCGTTCTATAGTTCAAGCAGATTCTTCTTTTACCATGCCATAAACCGTAAAAGTATTTAAAAATACCCGAGCGTGATCTAGTACCTTATGTACACATAAAAGTGATTGAAGTAAAAAGAACTTAATAATACATGTCATTTGCACATAAATGTAGCTAGAGTTTAAATTTAGTAATCCATCCAATAAAGAAAGATAAAATTTCTCATATTTATATACTTGTATCTCTTGTGCTACTCTTAATCTACATGGATTAAATTTCTCATATTTATATCAAAAGAAAGATAAACACGTGCGAGAGGAGAGGGGGGTGGGGGGCATCTCACCTAGGAGTTATTTAGCTATTTTTGAAGTTCAGTTCAGCACGTCAGCATGTTGTGGTGATCTATGGCTTTGACGTGAAGCACACCTCCCTGATTATGACAAGGACAATGAACTTTTGCATTTACCTGCGTTGCAATGGGAGCCAAAAAATTGAGGGAAAGGAAGGAACTTTTGCATTTACCAGCAAGGCAAGATGTCATTGATATCCTGGATTCAGAGATCCATGGGCCAGGCAGGAGGTCTCGGATGTGACTTCCACTGGTGACCTCATCTTGTCACCACTGACTTACGCTGGTGGTCTCCTCTTGTCACCACTGCTGCATCAGACTGGAACCTCCATTTACCAATATGCAATTCACAAAGCTACTAACATGAGAAACAAAAAATTCATAACCAACCACAAATTTTTGAATTGACTGATGGATTGAAGTAACAAATTTTCGAATCATACATTTCCTGAACTCCTTCCAGCAAAATCACCACATGAATCGATCATTTCATCCATGTTGCTACAAGTGCCTACGACAATCATTAGTTAGCCGCAAAGAAACAGAGCTCGTTAATCCTAGACAGATTCAGAAGAAAATACATCATCAATCCCAGACCAGACTGCGAAGAAAATAGATACCGAAACAATAGGACTCAACATTGAACTCTTGTACTGTAGTGCCATCAGGATTGCACGAGAAGCTGAAACGAACATGTGGCGAGTTCACACAAGCCGGCAGTTCCTCGATGTGGCAACGACGACAAGCACGCGGAGTGGACGACGAAGGAGGCTGCCACCGTCGTGGCCTCATCCTCCCGAGACACCACCGTCCATGAAGTATCACCAAGAATTGGGAATGTTGAACAGGCATTGATCTGGAAAATTCAATGTCTACTACATGGTTGTTGAACCCAATTTTATTTATTCAGACATGATTATTTAACCTTGAATTGTGATGCCTCCTCCATACATTTTTAATCTGGGATCAATCCTTCAGTCAGAAGTGGATTACAAAGACAAGCAATATTGTACTAAGCAACCAAATCCGAGACATAAGAAATCGGCAGTGCCCCAAATAGCTAGATAGTTTGGACCTCACGACGACATGCGCTGCAATACGAGGCATGCGCTGCGTAGGCTTGGATCATTGGGCGTCGTTTAAACCTTTCCAAAATTTATTTAATATGGCACTTTAATCAATTCACCTCGAAGCATTTTTTGTATGATGGGTATGTGCAGAAGTGGCTTGCGTCGAGAAAACAACAGAAGTTCACATGCATCATACGGAGTGCACTGCTCTGCTCCATTCAACAAGAGATCATGGAGTGCAGTTTAGAATGGAGCAAGGCACAAGATATCATCTATTACCTGCATTACTCTTCTTTAGAGAAAATCATGGAAACAGGATGAAATTCAGGGAGTGCAGTTTAGAAAGGCCGCGGCGGTACCCTAGCAACACAGGCACCCCGAGCGCTGCCGCCACGCCCCTCGGACCCGCTCTTCCTGGTCTTGGAATGCGCGGCCTTAGCCGACCCGCGCGCTCCCACGCCTGCCATGTCGTGGACTCCCGGCACAGCCGGATGCTGCGCGCGGATCTCCTCCCCGCCGCACTGGCGCGCTACCCGTCCGCCTCCCACCTCGACCTCTTTCTCTCTGAGTGAGCATCCCCAACGCGGCCCTCGATTCTGTGCGTCTCAGGCGCAGGCACGCAGCGCAGCACAGCCACCCGCCGCCGGCCGCCCTCCCGCCGAGATCGCGGCAACCGCGCCTGCCGAAGGAGATCCAGCGGCACCGGCGTCTGGAGGCCATCCGGGAAGGAGACCCTCGTCGTCTCGCCGCATTGCACAACTGAAATCAACGTGAGCCTGACCTGCAGGCCCATGCGCGTGGGAGGAGATGCAAGGCAGACACTAGATATGAGCTATTGAATTTGATGAGCAATGAGAGAGAATAACTAAGAAATAATTCAGTGTATCTATTTTGATGGTGTTATATTCATGTGTATGGATGTAGCATAGGTCATGACTATGGAGCAGACATTTGTTATATGATTGTAGATTTAATCTAACTGGTGTATTATAGGGTATTATAAGATAAGGTATATACGTAAACAAAAGCTGATCGTTAGGCCGGGAGGGATCAAGAAAAAAAGCTAAGTCGTGGCCACGGTGAGGTAGAGGTGCCGCGGGACGACGGAGCTAGCTAATTGACTCAACAATGGGAGGCACGACGGCCGACGGCACCGAGAGAGCAGCCGACGGCGGCCAGAGGACGGCCGAGACGGTGGTGGGCGCTGGGAGCGTGCCGCTGTACCGGCCCTTCGCGTTCGCGGACCGGACGGACGCCGCGCTGATGGCCGTGGGCGCAGTGGCCGCGGTGGCCAACGGGATGGCGCGGCCGCTCATGACCTTCATCTTAGGCGACGTCATCGACGCCTTCGGCTCCAGCGACTCCTCCAACGTCGTCCACAGGGTCGCCAAGGTACGTTCGTGTGTTGTGCGTCCACTTGTTTGTTCCTGCTGCATGCACGCTTTTTAATTTTGTGGTGAAAAAACAACTACACGACGCAGTACTTCTGTTAATGAAATTGCCTCTGACGAATAAAATGAAAAGATCTATGTTATTATTACGGTGGCCTATGAATATAAAGAGAGATCCGTTGGGACGCCGGACTCATTTCCTATATCTATGGTTGGCCTCAGCAACAACCAACTGGCCAACGACACTATCCAACCAACTCCATCTCGCTCTGCATGTTGTACACTTGTGCCTCGGAACCTCGGTTTGCGCTTAGGCCCGTTTTTTTTTTTATATTCACTTGATTGATGAATTTCCGTGAACAAAAACTTCATTTCCAAATATTTCCTTTTCATTTTACCTTTTATAGTTCAGTATTAAATGAGCAATTGTTTCACTTTGGTTGTTGTTAGTTTTAGCGATACCATGCCATGACGCTAGAAAACTTCTATTTTCGTTTTAAATTAAGAGCAGCAAAATACGTGAACAAAGAGTACAGGTAGGCTTCTTAACATTAGAATCACTACTAAAGAAATGGTTTTCCCCAGTGATATAAGAAGGTGAATGAGAGCCAAAACAATTTCAAATTGTTGAATTGAAGGCATCTGGTGTTGGTGAGGATTCACACAAGCATCAAAGAGTAGGTTTAACTTGGTTGTATAATTTTTCATGTCCGCAAAAAGTACATGTCAGGGGGTATTCATAGTGGGGAGAATCTTCGATTATCCCTATACAATCCCCTCTCTATCCCAGGCGTTGCTTCTACATTCAAGTATCACCTTCATTATAGTGAAGGGCAATTAGGTCATTATACAATGGAAATGCACTGCTGCATCGTCTTGTGGCTCCGCTGGGTGAAGTGAACCCACCGCACAAAGTGTGTCCTCGTAAGTTGAACCCATGTTGACTTTGTTTCACTTGGCTTCGACTTCACCACGTCCCGAGGCGAGCTTTTCACCTTTGGTCCTATGTCTTGGCTTCGTCTTTGCATTCTTGTCGTTGACTTCGCTCATCGGTCTTTGTTGCTTCTATACGAAGGTTCCCCTTTGTTGAATGCTTGAGCGAAGACTATCCTGAAAATAGGAACAATTGCATCTTTGATATTACGCTAGCCGAATCATGTTACGTGACTTCTGGGATTGTGTTGTCCAAGGTTGAACCCCCAACACTTGGCCTATGTCCCGAATTTTGCCCCAAAACTCATTTCTTCTAGCAAACTCAAGTTCTCATAGCAATAAAAGAGACTATTGAACTTAAGGACAATGCTTGGAAAGCCTAAAGGAAAAGTGGAAGCAAAAACATCACTCAACAGCCAAAGTTCGGAAGTTTATTGGAAGTTCCAAAGATTGTTCAGAAGTTCAAGGGTTCAGAAGTTTGTTCTAGTTCAGAAGTTCTGAAAGATTGTTCACAAGTTCTAGGTTTCAGCAGGTTTTTCTAGTTCAAATGTTTCCTTCGGAAGTTCCGACAGCCAGAAAAACAGCCTTCCAAACAAGACGGGAAAACCCTGACACAAACAAACAAACTCCAAAAAAGTTCCAAAAACTTTGCACACACCTTGACTAACTCATTTGGAGGTTATTCACAAGAATTCAAGTAAAAAAGAACAAAGCTTGGACAGGAATTCCAAAATCCCCTTCTCAAAATGGGGTTTTATCAAGAATCCTCCAAAAGATGATTTGAAGGTGCTCATGGAAAATTTGTTGAAGGAAAGACCTAAATATGTTCCTAAGACCTTTATGGCACCTAAAGAGCAACAAAGATATAAAAAAACTTTAGCTCAAAGTCAGAAAAAGAGGCTTAAAAAGTGGAGTTTTGGTGATTGGAACTTTAGAGATAGGAGATGAGCTTCAAGACATGATTTGAACAAGTTCTAAGAGTATCAAATCACTCCAAAAATGAGCCTAGAACCCAACCAAACCAGCAGAACAAAAAAACAAAAAATGGCTATGAAGAACACCGAAAAGAGGAAATTTTAGTTTTGTAGAGGGAGGAGAAAACTTGAGCATGACTTTCACCAAACAAACTTCAATTAAACCATGAGAAATTCATCTATACAAAAAGAAGGCTAGCCACCACCCTTCATGCTCACACTAAAGATGAAAAATTAGAGCAAGAGGATCTCACTCTCTAATTCTAATCTTCCCTTTCTCTCAAAGCACAGGGCTAACCTAAGGAAAAGAAAACTAGGGCTACAAAGATGTCTCTAACACCAGCCATCTACCTTATTTATAGGTATTTGGACAAACCCCAAACTATCCCTAAGCTAGCACTGGGCCTACTAACCCACAATGGAGCGATATGGTCGATATTACATAAAAATGCAAACAATACACACCAGAAGGCTCTGATTCCTCATCTCCTTCACTTAGCCTCAATGCTAACTTAGAGATATCGCCACGTGCCACCAGAATCCTCCATTGGCCTTTGAGACCCAAACCCGGCAAACCTACTGCCCATGGTTCTAAGGCCAAAACTGCAAAACCAACTAGAGTCATGTAGCCTCTATGCCTTCTCCATGATGTCGATGCGTGTCCTGCTTGTCCTCGACCAACCGATCACCAAGTTCTTGTGTGCCCACCTTGACTTAGTCCAAACATCAACTTGACTTTAGTCAACTTTGTCTCCATCACCATCCTCGCATGTACGCTTGCTTGTTGAGATGCCCAGGTACTAGACGTCCATGGTCCATCCTCTAGCCCTTGGACCCTCAGTCCAGGCCTTCATGTCATCCTTTCACCGCTCCTAGTCCATCGCACATGGACTCTTCACATGACCTTCTCCATTGTTGTCGACCGTCATGGCATACATAACACCTGCACATCCATAAGGCAAGAAACATATTGCACACACTAACTAACGCCTTGGTTAGTCCAACACACACTTAACCAAGGCTCTAATCATCTCCTTGACAATCCTCATCACTCACCACAAGGGCACATATGAACCATGTGTTCTCAGGTTCTATTAAAATTGTTGGTGATAATATATCACCTCTAGCTTGTAATAGTACTAGTGGTGAAAATGATTTTCACCAATAGTTCATGGCTTGATCTAGCCGTGAAAACTAGGACTGCACTCACCGCTGATTCAAGCCACAGATTGGAGGTGAAAATCAGCCTTGAGTACATAAGTGCAAAACCCTACACACATCCCCATGCCCGAACTCCTTCCTTAGTCGTCCCCTGGCCTCTCTCCCTCACCCTAGCACAACTCTCCCTCTCCTGGTGTGCCATCAATGGCCCTAACATTACCGTCAATAGCATGTATAGACGCATTAGACGTGGCTAGATCTAGCATCAGGTGGCATCCTTCCCTTCCCTCTCCTGATGTGGCAGCATCAACAACCCACCTTCTCCTCTTTCTCTCAATGGTAACAAGCGGAGGCACATCTGGTGTGACCGGTGTTGGCGTTGCTTAGCGTCACTACTAGGATTTGTGTTTCCTAGCAATGACACCAAGTAACGCCTTGATGGTAGTTTTTAACGATTACAGAAAGAATCCACAAAGCATGGAATTATCTTTGTAGCATTTCACCCGGAAGTATTCAATGTATTGTTATTTATATTTTCTCAAAGGAAGGCATAGTGTAAAAGGTTCTAGTGGGGACATGGACAAGACAATGTGACTATATACTAGACCAATACTCAAAACAGGGGTAAGTCATGATGATTTTCAAGATAGTGTGACACACACTCGGGCCACCTCAAGGATAAATAGAAAATAAAGAATAAAAGAATGTTCCTAAGTGGAGCAGGCTTATCTTAATATAGTCATACAAAGAATAGTGAGTGATCATACAAATACATGGTTAGAGCTAGACCTAAGTGTAAGATGGACGGGGAGACCTCTGGGCACTAGTCTGCCAGTAAGCCAGAGAGGCATTTACGAACTCCTACACAAATACCCGAATGTGGGGGATTGCAATGGACGGATAGGGTTGTCACCACCTGCCGCCTACCCCTTAACCGTGGAGCACTTTCACATCCGAAGGTTCCCGTATACCCAAGCACCACGCCCATGTATAAAGAAACTACCCGTATCCCCCCGGGACTCTGGCCTTACGGATCGACAAGCATAGGACACGGGAAAACCCTAAGGAACAACGAACCACCACCTCAACTTAGCTCTAATTATAATCATATAAGTTGTATGAATGATTAAGCATAAAATTCTATGTGCTAAGTTCATAACATAAAAACTATATGCTAGTTCATATGCTAAGATCAAAACACAAGAACTATACTCTAATTCAATTGCAAAACTATAGTGATAAGTAGAGGACAAGAACTTGTTGGAACTATTTGTATTTCTCATACCAAGTGTTGCCAAGATGTCCAAGCCTCTTACAAGCTTTGCCAAACTCCAAATGCTACTAAGAAATAAAAGAGTACAAGTGTGGAATGAGGTAGCGTGGCTCCCAAATGGTGTGTGTGTTGAGAGGGGGCTCTCCCCCCTCCTCTTATATGCTCTACAGGTCTGTTTGGGGGAATTATTCAGGGAATCTTCTCCAAACCGACCTCCTATGCATTGATTGCACCGCATGTCAAATTACAGCCGAGAGGCGACAAGGGGGGTGCGGGCGCACCCCTGGTGTGGCTGCACCTAGGCCAGCCCCTCTCGCCACCGCCTTCATGTGACACGCTGCTGGTTGGGTCTAGAGCACAGCCTCGGTGGTTTGGAGCCTAGATTTGATGTGTAGGTAGGCCTTTCTTCTGAACCTTTGTGTAGAATATGCTTTTATGCTTTTCGGGTTGTGCCTTTTGCCCTTATTGCTACGTATTCCAAGCATGTATCCTGTAGAACAGCGATTCTCCAATACATGTGGAAATACGTGAGTATAAATAACATATGTGTATAAGCTTGCTAGTTTCTCCTCCTTTTTGTGCCTTAATTGGCGGTCGGATTTGATCATTATGGACCGCCAACAACTGTACCTAGCATGGGCCTGACAGGAGCTTGGAGGC